TTAAAAAAAACAATTTGCACTTATTTTTAGCTTGATTGTTCTCATTTTAGCTCATGGAAGAAGCCCTGCTCTTGTGACAGAATCTATTTCAAGGGCCTACTTCATAAACTTTTGGGATTGTTTTGACAAAAAAAAAAAAATCTTATCTACTTGATCCGTCTTAATTCTGTATTCTGCATGTAACGAAATCCTTTGACGCTTAACCACCTCTGCCCCTTCCAGAGATGGTGAGTGGAGACAAAGTTTATATACATTTGAGAAAGAAATGCCTTAAGATATAAAGTGATGTTTATAAAGTGGTGCACATTTCAATGTCAGGCAAAAATTCTTTGGGGGTTATTCACCGATTTATTATCTCTGCCTCTTGTTTCCTCCATTGTGAAGGGGTTGACATAATGTTGAGCTGGTCTTTATTTATGGACACTGTTGTAATCTAAATTTTGGTTCAAGTTTTTAGTAATTTTCCAAATACAGTCTCAAATACCACAGACAGATTCCTGATGTTATGAGTGGATAGGTTTTCACTTAATCCTGATTCACACCGTCCACTTCTCCTGTCCTAGCCAACGAGTCTGCTACTGGCATATTGCCCGCCCTAACCTACAGATGTCCCGAACACACTGCTTCCCATCTCTGTGACACCAAAATCACACCTTTTCTTTGGTCTCTTTTGGACGCGAAATGTCTAGGAAGACTTACTGTTTTGCTTCAACGTGGCAAGTTTTCCTGTCCAGATAATTTGTGGTGTGCATTCAACCAGTTAAGGTGAAAACAAGAGTCTCTGACAATCATGCTGTTTTATTCATGAAAGGAATTGTCTGCTTAGTGAGGCTCACTCATGGGAAAACCTTAATTAAATATGGTGGCACTTTTTTTTTTTATTCTTATGTTAATCCCCATACATTACATCATTAGTTTTAGATGAAGTGTTCCATGATTCATTGTTTGTGCATAACACCCAGTGCTCCATGCAGAATGTGCCCTCCTCAATACCCACCACCAGGCTAGCCCATCCTCCCACCCCCCTCCCCATGACCATTCTATCAACACTGGCATGGAAGTCTTAGGACTAAAAATGGTCATCACAAGAAAGATATTTCTGATGGAAGAAAATAGGTTGACCCTCTAATAAAATCTCAAGAGGACACATATGGGCCGCTTGCGTCCTTTCTGAAAATGTCCTAGGCCGAAGCATTGTGGAAGAAGAATGATCTAGTCATGGGTTATGCAGAAAGTAATCAGTTTCCAAGGGGAATCAGTTTCCATCTCTTCAGGCGTCTGAGGGTCACCTGAGTCCAGGCAACTGGGCTACTGTGGCCATTTCCGGTCTGTTCTTATTAGCATCTGTCCAAACCACTGTCCATAATAACCTGTATTTAACCAAGCAAATGGCTTTGATTTAAAAAAAAAAAAAGAAAAAAGAAAAAGCATTTTATCTTTTCCTCAAATAAGGACAAATTATGAGGATAAAATGAGATTATAAATGTGAAAAACGGTTTGAGAGTAAAAGTTGAATATCAACGTTATTACAAGGACTACCCATACAGGCTTTACACATTTCCTCCAAATACTTGTTTAAAAAAAACAAAAAACAAGTTATACCTTAGATTTGAACATTTCATCCCTTCTCCTTCACCTTGCAAAAAGTCTCCAAGTTAAATGAGCTTCAAATAAGAAATCGAAAGGTGGACCAAAGCTTAGGACTCTAACAGATAAGGCAAATGTCAGGTCCATGATGCCAAACTGGTCTGGGTCTAGTAAGATCCATGAATGATGGATCTGTACTGATGTTGTCCCATGGAAAGTTTCAACCTGCATTTAAGAGAAGACAAAAAGAGCCAAAGGATTTTCCAGAAGAAATTGGCACAAAGAGATTCACTCTAACGTGAGGTCTCATGGGCACAAGGGTCAGAACCAGGGAGAAGACCCAGATCTGATCCCTTCCCCATCAGTCCACACGCACGGGGCTTTCAGAAGTCCTAAGTCTCTCAAGACTTGTTGTTCCCTCAACCCTACATCTTCCCCCAGCCTCCCGTCTCTGTCCCTCCTGTTTTCCACACCAAAGATAACACAAGTGTCTTGCGTCACCAGTTGGACTCACCCACCACCACCAATTCCCACAAAAACGAAGCAAAGGGTATGGGAGTGGTGTCGTTTTGTGAAAATCAGTTTGGCACATTCTCTGGTCTTCGGTCTCGATTTCTTTAAGACCCTGAGGGCGTAGGCATGTTCGTCTCCATGGCCCCTACAGACCAGACCGTGTACGAAGGCCTGTGCTTTTAATCTGGAGCTGAAAAGCCCAACAGTTCCCTGGGCTTTAACTCTAAGCTGTCTCTGCAGAACGATAAACAAAGCCAAGAAGCCCCCTTGCAACAGGATCTGAGGTGGCTGAGGACTCTCTGTGCAGCTGAGAGGCGAGTCATGACCGTCGCCGGGGGATTTAATTGATGTTGGCCACTGTGACTTCCTCATCTTGTACATATTTGGTTTGCAGAATGCAAGGAATTTGCTTGCTGGGCAAGTTTATCCATTCTTTTTTTCTAACCAGGCTCTTTTCTACTGAGGTATGTCTCTGAGAAATTCCCTCAGTGGACCTTTGCCAAAGAAGCAAACGGTTCAGCGGGACGGTTTGAACCTGAAACAGATCCTCTCTAAAAATACACTGTGCGCTGTATGAAAACAGGATCCAGCTCTGACTTTGAAATGGAGGTATCTGAACTTACTACCAAAACTTAGGGCAAAGTCTGGAAGTACATCATCCTTCCATGTGCACACAATACACGAGAGGAAGAATCCGGGCAGGTCAAGTATTTGCTGAACACCCATTATATGCAACAGAAGATCTTGTCACGGTTTACTGTGGAGAAAACTGAAGATCACAGAAGGAAAATAACTTGGCCAAGTTCACATACTAAATGGCAGAGCAGGAATCTATAACCAAGTCTCATGATACAACAAGGCCCATGGCCTTATGTTGGTGTTTTCCCTTTTATTCAACAAGTTGACCAACTAGATAACTAAATGTCACTAAAGCATTAACTGGTAGATTAAAAAAAAAAAAAAACATTACGTGTTAAGAGTTAGAATTACAAATTTGAGAAAAATACATAAATCCAGGTCCAGATTAACGACTTACCAAAATCATGCAATTAATGTGATTTTTCTGATTTGCCAATAACCCCTGAACATGATCTTAACCTTCTTTGGAAAGATAAATTTGTTAATGATAATATGTAGCTCTTGATTTTTCTCATATCTAATTTCCTCACATGTATTTTTATCAGAAAAAAAAAAAGAACATTAGATATATCCTACAGAATTAAGTCCAAAATTACAGGCTGCGTTGGTAGGTAACGGAGAAGACAAAAGCAGGGGAAAATAAAATAGAGCCATTGTGCCATCTAGTGATAAAACTCTTGCTTTGCAAGAAAACCACCCGATGGTGATTCCATTTTGCGAATCAGTCCCCAGGAGTCTCTGAGCCTGAAGAATATTCATAAAACTGGCCAAAACACAGATGTCTGATAACAACAAATAATGGGAAATTAATGGCCGTTCAACAAGAACAATGGCACAGAAACGATTCTTCTGTCAAAATTCTCCTGGTAAGATTCCATTAGAAGCTGGAGGTGAACCCAAATTCTACTCCTTAAAGATCAGCCGCAGGTCCTGTCCACCTTTCTCCCCGTACCCTGAAACTTTAGGTACTAGTTTATTAACTAACAAGGGTTCCATTTCGGCACACAGATCACATTGGTACTTATTCAGTAAGTCTGAGCTATTCTTCCTCCACGAGTCTGACTAGGACTCATGCTCCGTCATGGAGCTCAGCCGAACACCTGAACATCCTTCCTCCAGATTACCTTTCCCTCTGCTCTTGTTCTGCACCAGCTGCAGTAAGTTTGAACTTTGACATTTTCTCTCAATGCTCAGTAAATATCAAAATACCCATAGATAGCTTACCCATTAGAAAAATGTTATAAAAATATTACTTCAAGAGCCAAAAATAATAGAAGCAACATAGAAAATGTGTTTTTAATCTAAAGATTCATGTTTAGCTCAAGAACTTTTTAAGACATAATGAAAGGGAAATATACCAATTTTATAATTCTTATGGTTGAATGAAAAAGTTACCTAGAAAAAAAACTGTATTCCAGTTCAGTAATTAATATGTCCATGTATGGTGAAAAAAAAATTGTTTACTTCCATTTTGCTTGCACAGTTTTTAAAGTTACCTAGTTTTTATTCCCATGGGGTTTGTAACAATTACAGTGACTGGCTCTGTCAGTCCCGGTCTTTTCTCAGGCAGGAGAATAGATGAGCCTGACTGGGTACCTAGTACCAGCCCCTGGAAATCCCTAACAAAAACTCAAAATATTCATAAATTTGACAATACAAATCCTGAGTTGATAATTTCTCAAATCCCCATGAGGCCATCTGGTCTTGGTCAAGAATGAGATTTTCTCTTACTGCAGGTAGGAGCTCCCACAATGCTCTGTAGAAGCCAATAGAGCATATTAGAGAAAACACACAGGTAAGAGAGTAAGAAAACCCCAGCACAGCAGTATTAGTTGTGTGACCTTGAGAAGTTTCTCACCTTCTCAGAACCTCCAATGCTTTATCTGTGAAGGATTACCTTTGTAAACCTTAGTAATCCACTTAACTTGAAGGATCACCATGTTAAAGAATACATATAAAGTGTCTAACGGATAATAAGCACTCAATAAACGGTAGTCATTTATTAATAAAAGTGATAGTGTGCCTTTTAAAACAATAATTCTTAGAAGATGATGTTTATTTGGCCTATGACTAGTCCTAGGTAAAACAATAAACTCAACCAAATCTGTCTTTTGGACTTCTTGCTTACTTTTGCAGGACTACCTCCAAAATCCACATGTAAAACCGGCCGAGAAAACCTGACCGAAGGGTAAAGAGAAAACATTCCAGTCTGCAGTGAATGAGTTGAGAAGCTATGTCATCAAGAGTCAAAACGCCCCATAAAGCTTTTAAAGACAGGTTTATTTATATATAAGTGCATGAAATTGATACAGAAATTTTATTAAAATACTGTATTTTACAAATTTTTAATCCAATAAATTCTGTGTAATGATGTTTAAGTGCTGGATTCACTTTTAACAGTTGTCCTGTGTGAGTCAGTAAAGAGTTCACCCTGTATATTACAAAGAGGAGAGACACACGGACCTCAGAAACGGTCCTGTGATTAGACAGTGGATGATATTAACTGTGCATCTTTTCTTTAAAGCAATGAATTGGAACCTAGATCTTGAGTTTGCAGACCGACTTTCTATAGTCAAAAATAACTTGCGTATGTTTATTGCTGCCCTTTGAAGAAAATGAGTGGTGAAAAATAAATTAAAATAAAGACCAACATCCCTAAGGCTAACCTGATGCTTACCACAATTAAAATAATTAAAGTTCACTGCAAAATTTGTGTTCTCCAGGAAATTCTGCTATATACACAATGAGATTTGTACATGAATTGGGAAATTAAAAAATCGCTTATATAAAATTAAAAATCAATAGTATACAATATTTACAGCTCGTTAGGTATGATACATAAACATAGTTTTTAAAATAACCCTTCAAAATTAAACTGTATTATGTAAACATGCAGTACACATACTCATACAGTGTAGTTTATAGTCTTAACAGAAAGGGAGGGGAACTGTGTTCACATAATGTAGGGTACTTCATCACATACGCCTTTGCCTTTGTGCGTGACCCCATCCAACATTTATTCTTCCTGTCTTTAAACTTCACAGTACATTAAGTATTTCTATAGTAAAAAGAAATCCCTGATGGTAAACATATTCCTAAAGGTTACATAAAGTTTCTGCCCTTAAACTACGATATAAAACTAACACTGTTCACACTAGAATTTCTAGTTTACGACAAAACTAAATTTTAAAATCCCACACTTAATTGTCTTGACTACATTTTTCTCCATTTCAAACGTACTTGTAAAAAGAAAAAATTATAGACATATACCACATCATGAAAATGTAAGGAAAGTAGTTGTCATCTGTCAGTCAATGGCAAAATGGCTGATTTTTATTCACCATAAGGAGTTAATTCAATTATACGGTCCCTAAACTCTAAATCCCCAGTGACAAGTATGCCAATCCTGAATCCTGTCAAAGGCACTAAGGCATCATTTAGCTTTTAGCTTTTAAAAACTACTTGTGTTTTACTAAATGATTCATCAGTGGTCTGAGAGTTAACACAATTTGAAAGTGAATTTTTAATACCTATCGGGTAAACTATTTTTGCTATTTAAATCAAGCCATTTTTGTTGGTTAACTTCAAGTTGATCCCCTCATCTTCAAATGATTAGAGTCAGGGGTTAATACTTCATGGTAGAATCCTATGAATCTTAGCAAGTTATAGGACTATAATGAAAAATACTGCGGAACTTTATTTGTTCATCTAAATGTGTACAACTCGTGTGTGTGTGTTGTTGTGTGTATTGAGTAGAGGGTCGAAACTGTAAAAATTTCTCCATCATAAATGCATCTGATACCACAAATACCAAGAAAGTGTCAACAATGAGACCATCAACTCATCCAGTACTGAAAGTAAATCATTTTTAAATTACTTTTCAAACAAGTGCCTCTATTTCGCTCTCTGTGGAGAAAACTTTAAAACGTTCCTTCCCCCAAGATACTTAGTGATGATGTGCAAACATTTTAGTTTAAAAAGAAGAGAATTTTCTCATCGTCAGTTGCACTGTCAAGTTAACATTCATTTGCACAGGGCTCTAAAACAAGAGATGAACTTCGGAAATTATCAGTATGTATTTAGAAGAGAAAGTGCTACAGTTATGGTAATTATGAATGATATAGTTCCTTCTTCTATATATTTGTTATGCTTCCCAGTTTCAGTTACATACCTAAATACATTCCCGAAGAGGGGGCAGTCACATTACCATTGAGGGGAGATCGATATGGGTGCAGTATATAATCCAAAAAATATGTAAGAGGTTCATGCTCTCTTGGCTTGCCTATAGCATTTAATTTTCAGTAAGATTATAACTGCATAACCATAAGGTGTTAAGAACATCTTCTTCTGAACCAGCATTTCTGAGTCTATCAACAAATTGTACATATGTTTAAACTATAACATATGACATCGGTATGGAAGGAAGAGGGAGATTTTTAAGAAACTGCAAAATTAGTTCTCGAAATCGACCAAGGGTCATTATGTAAGTTCAACATATGTGCAATGAATGTAAAGCCGAGTCCTCTAAACTCGGAGGAGGAGATAGTTACAGTTCAGAGCTCAGTTCATTCAGAAATGTGGGCGCTTCCATCAATTTAATAAAGTTATTAACTGGTACGTCTCCATATTTACTGAAAATACTTCACATATTAAGCACTATTTCCCCAAATTCACAGATACGTTTTTAGATAACTACTTTAGCAACCTCCTTAAAAACACTGTACTGTCTACACTGAACAGAGATCCTTCCATGAGAAGAGCAAACCCATCACCACACACACACACACACACACACGGATTGCAAATGCTCCCCAGCATGTCGGAAACATGCAAAACACACACACACACACACACGGATTGCAATGCTCCCCAGCATGTCGGAAACATGCAAAACACACACACACACACACAGAATGCAAATGCTCCCCAGCATGTCGGAAACATGCAAAACACACACACACACACACACACACGGATTGCAATGCTCCCCAGCATGTCGGAAACATGCAAAACACACACACACACACACACACACACGGATTGCAATGCTCCCCAGCATGTGGGAAACATGCAGCACCTTCGCGCCGTGTAGTGTACAGACCTACCACCAGGGGGCAGCTGCGTTTGCCCCAGCTTGCGCACCTTGCCCTCCAGCGCCTCTTCCTGCCTTTAAACTGCCCGCTCCTACAACTACCACATGTTTGAAAAACCTTACCATCTTTAATCAAATAATGTCCTTTTGCACCTGAAGAGTCGCTCCTCAAGATGTTATAAAAAAGGACTAGGAGTTAGAAGAAATCATGAGCCAACTGATGGGCTCACTAGCCGATTTTCAGCACTGAGAGTCTCACCCCTGGTTTTTATTTACACGGCGACCCAGCTTCGCTGCCACTGAGATCTACCAGAATTTCTTCGGGACGTTCCGTGTTCTTCACATCTTACAAACAAGTAAGGACTCTTTGAAGAGATTCTGATTAAGACGTTCTGAGAGGGAGGGGCGCCTGGGTGGCTCAGTCGTTAAGCGTCTGCCTTCGGCTCAGGTCATGGTCCCAGGGTCCTGGGATCGAGCCCCGTGTCGGGCTCCCTGCTCGGCGGGAGGCCTGCTTCTCCCTCTCCCACTCCCCCTGCTTGTGTTCCCTCTCTCGCTTTCAAATAAATAAATAAAATCTTTAAAAAAAAGAAAAAAGACGTTCTGAGAGGGAAAAATGGTAACAGCAAGAGGGAAGTAGTTTGAGAATATTTCCGAAAATACCCTCTGTGTCTTGTGACTTCGTGGATTATCACCTGGACATAAATCGGAAAGTACAGTTTCTCCTTGCAGTTAGAAACAAGCGGGTAGGGCGTAAGCACCCCTGGTCGGTGGGAGGAAGGACGCGGGAGGCACTGAAGCCCAGGTCTACTTCCTGCAGAACCCACAGGACCCCTGAAGCCCGCAGCCCAGGGTGGCGGAGGAGAGGACCCCACACACGGAGGACACTGTTTCCCATCCCTGGAAGGAGGACAGTTAAGTCGCATGCGGCAGACGTTCAATGGATGTTGGCCAAGTGGTCCAAGGGAAGCGAGCAGGATAAGGCAAAGGCAGAGGAGTGAGTGTGGCTACCCTCTCACCCTTTTCCTAGTTTAACGGGCGATAAACAAACACAGAAATTCAATCCTGCTTGCCCCGGCCATCTCCACCCCCTCCCCAAAGCCCAGAAATGGTCTTGGAGAATCTGCTCGTTTTGGAAATAAAGAGGTGGAGAGGAGGTAAGGGAAGCAAGATTCTAAGTTTCCTTCTTAAAATATATGTAGGGGAAAACGTGAAAATGGAAGAAAATAGATGAATTTTACAAAACAACATATTAATTGGTGTTAAAAATGTAATTAAAACAATTCTAATGACTCTCTTCTTGACCATCTACTGCCAAGTGAGTACTGCTTTGCATTCAACAAGCGACGGGCCCTGGGTTCGAGTTGACGTGGTGGGCTTAGCGTCTAGAATTCTGTCCACTCTGTCACAGTAATGACAGCTCTGTTACAGAAAGTCCATTTGGTGGATAACCTGGGAACACCAGAATTTGGGGGCAGGGGGCAAGGGGAACAGGACTTAAACTCTCAAACAGAATCGGGAAGTAAAATGTCCCAACCTTTTTAGGATTTACAATCACCTTGCTAGCTCTTGGTGGACTCAAGGGCAGGGATCTCCTCTCGGTCATCCTTGTACTTACTATAGAAATACTCAGTACAGCACTTTGAAAACAGCAGACCCATGTTTACCAGATTGAATTAGTTGGCATGGAAGTGCCGGCATGAGCAGAGTAATGTGGCAGCGCCATTTGTCTCTTAATTAGACCTTCTTTAAAGGCCTTTTCAACAACACTCTTTGATTTCCACTTACCCCTATTCCTTCTGTCACAGATGCATGATATACGGGGCAGCTCATTTCCTTATTTCTCACTTAAAGTACAAACAAAACCCTTAGGCTTTTTTGGGCTGTGGAAATGTATGTTGCAAATACTAAGGAAGTACATCGGGTACCAGACTATAGGACTGCTTAGTACACAGTAAGATCTAAAGTAAGAATGATTAAGCTGCGGGCACAGAATAGCTCTACACCATTTAGAAATGTCCTTATTCTAGGAAACCAGTGGAGCCATCCTGTGGGGCAGAGCACTCACACCTCCTTCATTTAAAAGTTTTACATATTATTTGTAGCCTCAAGGGGTCCCCCTGATTGATTCTGATCTACGGACAGTTCTAACCAGTATGTTAAATAATAATTAGTTTGGGCGTATCGGCATAGATCTCTTCTTTGGGGAATTGATTTCAACATCAGTAGTATTTTAGTAAACTTTTTTTTAAATAAAGGAGTGTAAACTCTAAAGGATTTCCCCCCTTCCTTCCTGTATTTATCACAAAGAAAGTTTACTGCTAAATCATACATAAATTTTAAGACAGTGTGACCCAAATACATCAATAAGGGCTTTTGTCATATCACAGACAAGGGTCTCCAGCACTAATAAACCAAGAAAAATTTCTCCATATTCAAAAATCTCAAACATCCTTACTTATTTAAAAGATCATTCAACTGAACAAATATAAAAAATTCTCTACTAGAACATGAAAGTGTTCACTGAACAAAAGCTTTCCAATTAGACTATATTCATATATAGCAGCTTTACACATATGTATATAATGATATATGTGTGTGTGGATATATATCATTAAGGATTTGTCGTCTGTAGGAAAACCACTGATTTAAAAAAAAAAAAATCTCAGCCTAAAGGTAGCTATTAAGACAATTTCATCAACTCACACTATTCAACTGCATTTCAAAACATCAAGAGAGTGACATTTGCACAAAAATCTCAATGGAAAGAACTGAAAACAGCAAAGAAACCAACAATTGCCCCCAATGGTTAAAAGTACACACGTAGACTCAATTCATAAAGTAAAGCAACATGATGGGGATAGCTAGCTGCAGGACACTCTAAGACTAATTATTAACCATCCAATTATACTCCCTTTCTAGAGTAAAAACAGGAGTTAAAACCTCTTTGGTCCACACATTGATGGATTTAATGTGTCCAGGTTATTTTCCAGCTAATTTTGGATTCTAAACCATGTGCTCCGTATTCCCTTACCATGATAACTTTCGTAAATCATGAAACAACCATATGTTAAAATAAATATTCATATTGTAGATCTGAAACAATGTGAACACATTATTGGTAACTCCTCTCAAAGAATATGAACACTTGAAATTACCAACAGAAGAGCCAAAGTAAAGGAAGAACACAATTCAAGTCTAAAAGAAAAGGAGAAATCAAATGGACTGGGAAAGTTTATGCCTAAATTTAATTTGGGAACACATCAGGAACATAAAGAACAAATAATTTTAGGCTTGTACATAATAAAAAGAACCAATTTTAAGATTTACTTCAAAGATCTCTAGGGATGCATAGTTGCTTAATGGTGTCTTTAAAAACAGATCTCCAAGCCCAGCATTAGTAAACCCCCAAAACTGGCTTCCATACTGGTAAAAGTATCCCCTTCCCCAACTCCCTACTTTTACGTCATTGAAACACATTCTGCTTTTCGGTGGAGAAAAAGTGGTGTGGGTAATGGAGGTCTTAAATTTGAATGGGACCTAATAGAAACGTACTTTTTACCAAATCGGGTCATAAAACAATGAGGCTAGAGTATGCAGATTATTTTTTGGACTGCCCTTAACTTCATATTTTCTGCAGTGGCTTTTTGAATTACCACATTTATAAAGGGACCTGGTCTTTAAAACAATCTCAGTAGGAGACAAATTCAACCAGGTTCTGTTTCCCTTGCTCCCTGCACTCTTAAAAACAACTGCATCTTGCCAAAACCTCTTAAAATGTTGTATTACTAAGGATTTTTCATTCTAATAAATGTTGTCACTGATTCTAGGAAACTTAACAGCGCAAATCGAGAACCGAACAACGGAATCACTCTAATATATGTTCAGTACTGTACTGATATGCTGAGATTAACTGCCAAATTTTTAAATTATTTCTTATATTCCCCAATTTTTACTTAGTGAAATTGTTACCACATGCCCAGTGTAATGCAATTACTCTTCTTACATAACTTACTTGTTACTTATCTACAAATGAGGCTCTTTGTTTTCACAGCCTAATTTAGGCCACTCTTTAAATATAGGTAATACTCCAGAATGAAAGATTGTTTGTTTTGCCAAAAATCAAGATATATGCAACAAGTAATATAATCCCACCGAGATAGTAGCTATAAAGATGTTTTCTCCATGAGATACATGGCAAAAACTTTCTTTAGAAGGGTCAAAGAATGCAACATGCATTTCAGACTTCTTTTCTTACAAAGTTTATAAGAAAACTTTCAAATTATATTTTTATGACACACAAACTACAGTCAATGTGTGTGACCCATAAGTTTTTGAATTCGTCTCAACAGAATAGTTACACAGGAGGGAAACTACTGAAAGAGTGTTACTTGAGTGGAAAGGATGCACCCTACGGGTCTACTTTGAGTCCTTAAAAGAGTTTAGCTAGTTTTCCATTAAGTATTATTTTCCGCATAAATTAAATGACAATAATGCCTAAACATATTAAAGCCCTAAATCCCAGAAACGTTCAGCACTGGAAACCAAACCGTCCACCTCACATTCAATGATTCGCTGTTCAGCACTCATACGGGATTTAGCGTCACAGAACAAAAATCTCACTACGTTACCTGAATTCATGTCAAGTATGGTTCACAGCACTCATCTACATCTACGCTTGCAAACTGTCACATGATCCATGTTAAAAAAAGAGAAGAGTTTGGCACATACATCAATTCCTCAAAACGTCCCTGTAACTCAACACAACACTGTTAAGAACGACGAGTCAACACCGTGTTAACCTGATTGGCAGCTAAGCAAGGCGCTTCTTCCTGGAGCTTCCGGTCCCGTGATGCGCCCGGCCCGGGCCGGAGGCACGTAAGGCGCAGTGCGGTAGTGCAACCACTTGGACGCCAGAGGGCGATCTCTGCACACAGCTCAAGGCCTTCGGGGGCGCCCTGCTCCTTCCACGTTCTCCTCGTACGTTTCATTCCCGCTCCTTCACAACGCCGTGTTCTGAGAATCTGTACATGTTTCCTTATGCGAAGTAAGACATTCCCACCGCAAGCTCAGAGTGTGGCGAGGATCCTCGAGAAGGAGATGATTAATGTCAATACAGTCTGTCCCACGCCCCACACCAGCGCCTCCAGAGGGGCCATGTTCTTCCCTGCGACTCGGTAGATGCCCGCGACTGCTGCGCCTGCACGAGAAGGGGCAGAGAAACAAACCAACACGTTCATTCCCTTCGCAACACGCTGCACCGGGGACGTCAGATCGCTTTCCATCTCAGCACCCCAGAGTCCTCCATCCTGCTCCTCTTCTAAACTGTCCACGGAAGTTTCCGTGTGATCGGTTCAAGTCGCACTTGACCGTCGCCCACTTCACTGAAAGACAGGCTTTGCTATTCGGCTGCAAAATACGTATTTACAGTACATGCTGTTTACTTGACATCAAACATGTTCATAAACCATGAATAATTTGTTATTGTAATCTCTCACCTGGGCATTGAATTGGACAGACAAAACAAACATGTCTGTTTTTATAAACATACAACTACCCATATTGATAATTATAAATGAAAATACAGGAACTACACAATTTAATGCAGTTTCTAAATTATTCAAGTAATTTTTAAAAAATTAATCTTAAATGTGTATAAAATATCAGAATAGTTGACTACCACATTGCAGAATCTACCATATAAAGTAGTTTACCAAGTCTTTTTAATAAAGCATACAACCATAAAGTTATTTAGAGACTAGTATCTTGACATCCAATAAAAATGGAAGATGCACCTGACATCTGTTCCGGGAAAAATGTTTAGATCATGCACACTTCCAAGAATTCGAGAATCCCAGAGTTACAGGAGTCTCAGAGCCCATCTGATTCAACACTTCACCTTATTAATATACTATATATACTGAAACATTTAAATTAGAGTATGCCTCTCCAGCACTAAGTTTTAGAAAATGATCCAAGAAGTGGAAAATCTAAGCACTTACGAGCTCAGGCTTCCTAGGAAATGGTAAGCAAATGTGTCAAGTCAAACATCTCATGCTCATATGAGGTGAAGAGCATGGGTTTTGGAGTCAGACTTGTGGATCAAACTCCGAAATCCACTCCCTAGCAGATGTGCTACATGGGGCAATCACTTAACCTTTCTGTGCCTTATTTCCTCAACTGTAAAATGGGTGGGAATGAAGATGAAGAGTGACTGGTCCTAGTATGCACTCTGAATTTTGGCTAAGAGTTGTCATCGTAGTAAATGAGAAAGGTATTTCCAATCAGTGATTCAGCATTCAGTAAATGGTGTTGGAACAATGAGCAGACATTGGAAAGAATAAATCTAGGTCCCTACTTCACATCACTCCCCAGAATAAATTTCAGATGGGTTAAAGAACAAAATATTAAAAACAAAGCTGTAAATGTAAACTTTAAAACAGAAGAGAATAGATCTATGATCTTAGGAAAAGAGGGCTGCATAAAAAAGAGCAAAACCCCTAACGGGACATGGGGCGCCTGAGTGGCTCAGTCGGTTAAGCGTCTGCCTTCGGCTCAGGTCACGATCCCAGGGTCCTGGGATCGAGCCCCACATTGGGCTCCCTGCTCGGCGGGAAGCCTGCTTCTCCCTCTCCCGCTCTCCCTGCTTGTGTTCCCTCTCTCGCTGTCAAATAAATAAATAAAATCTTAAAAAAAAAAAAAAAAAACTAAAGGGACAGATGAGAAAAATACTTGATCCATGTCCAGAGTACAGACACACACATATATACACGTATAATAACCAAGGCAGTACTTACTGTAGTAGCAAAAAAACAAAAACAAAAACAAAACACCACAAAGTCAAAAGCAAGAAGCCAATATCCTTCAGTGTGGAGTGTGTGAACTATATCAAGCCCACACTACGAAACCCATACAATTTCAAAAGAAAAATAAAAACCTTATGAACTGACAGAGAGAACCTAAGACATTATTTATGCAACAAATAAAACCTAAAACTATATATATTCTCTACTAGTATATGCATCCATCCTATGCATGTGTGCATGTATGTAAACATTTATATATGTAAATATGAATGAATGTAATATTCATATATACATACAATCCGGGGGCATATAAGCCAAACTGAAAATAGGGATTACAACTGAGAAGAGAGCACTAGTTTGGGAGTGCTAGTCCAAAGAGACCTTTGCCTTATCCATAATGTTTTGCATTTTACAAGGAGAATATGCCATCATATATTACTTATGTAACTAAAATTAATTTTAAAAATCTAACAATTTCCACACCAACTTGCCTACACTTCTCTTTAATTCCAAGAAACTTTCATCTTCAAGGTCAGAATATCTTTCAATCCTCTTTTCCAAACTAAAATACTTGTACATAATGACAAAGCTCACTGAACTCTTCATATAAAATAGTAAGGAATAAATTATACTTTAAGCTAGGTAGCAAATACTCATAGAATAAGAAAAATTGTGTACATGTTCAATGTCAAGTGTTTCCTATGTGACTAGAAGAGGTGGTGCTTATATTTAGTATTTCTGTGCCTCCGAAGTTCAGGGTGGGGTCCTTTGGCTGTAGATGGAGGGCCCAGGAAAGCGTTTCAGGCATCTCCTGTAGGGGTTTAGAATTTAATGGAGGTCAGGAGCCATGGAGACACACCCGAAGAGACAAGTGAAAGGGAATAAGAAAATGATTTAAGGAATAGAAAATGAGTACTGAGAACCTTTCCACTCTACTGTCATCTTCTTTCCCAAATAAGCTGACTCCTTTATCGAGTATTTGGCTGGTCTGGTGATTAAAATGGATTTCACGCTGGAAGGCCCTGATGTTCGATGGAAAACAAACAAAACTCCTAAATAACCCATTCTTCTTTAAAATCTTTCAAGGAACAGAGGACAAGCCCTTCAAGCCTATATAGTGTTAGACAGAAAATAAAACAAGCCACCGTTTTCTTTCCAGTGGATAATGAGTTAGGAAACAATTCTGAAGTTACAACTTCCCTCCAAAAGAAGTAGATTTACAGAAGTCCCCACTGCGTTGCAGAATCTCACACCCAGAAGCACTGGTCAGAAAAGAGTGTACCAGTGGAACTCTCAATCTAAAAGATCTGCAAGAAAACAATTTTGTGTGCCTAATAAATGAATTTGGAAGCACTGCTAATGAATATTGAGCAGATACGAAAGAGTATTTATAAAAATATATGTAGAGGCTCCTTGGTGTCTCAGTTGGTTAAGTGTCTGACTCTTGGTCTTGGCTTGGGTCATAATCTCAGGGTTGTGGGATCCAGCCCCCACGTCGTACTCCATGCTCAGTGTGGAGCCTGCTTGGGGGTTCTCCCTCCCTCTCCCTCAGCCCCCCCCCCAAATAAATCTTTAAAATATGTATTTTTTATATATATGTAGATTATAAAATGACAACAAATTCCCAAGTACCATCATCCAACTGAAGAGAAGAACATCACTACTTCCTTTGAAATTCCCGTGGACTCTGCTCAATTATATCCCATTTCCTCCTTGAATTTGTTTTTTATCATTCCCTTGCTTTTTGTCAGCTTTACCACCTTCATGTATCCTAAAAACATATATTATTTGGTTTTTTAAATAAATTAATTTTATGTAAATTGACACTATAAGTATTCTGGAATTTGGGTTCAATATCATAGGTCTAAAAGCTACCCACGTTGTTGTGTGTAGCTGTAATTCATGCATTTTCACTACTGCATAGAATTCTAAGCATGAATATACCACAATTTATCCATTCTACTGCCAATAACATTTATTTCCAATCCTTAACAATGGCAAACACTGATTCTATGAATATCCTTGTGTGTGACCCCTGGCCCACATACACAGTCAAAAATTTCTCTTCAATACTTGGGTAAAAGTAGAACTGCTCAGTCTTATGTTATGGGCATTTTCAACTTTACTAAGTAATGCCAAACTGTCTTCCAAAGTAGTTGAACCAATTTATATTCCAGTTACTCCATTATCTTCAGAAGCAGTTAGTATCTTTTTTTTTTTAAATTTTTGTCAACCTGGTAAGTAAGAGATGTCATCTCTATGATCAATTTTCATTTCCCTGATAATTAATGTGACTGAACTTTTCTTCACATATTAAGAAGCCAGGAGGGTTTTCTACTTTTACGAAATGCTTGTCAAATCTTTTTTCCTTTTTTCTATTGAGTTTTCTTATTATTTGATTCATAGGGTTTTTAAAATATGCTTCGGGTATGAATCTTGTTATATTTATATGTGTTCACAAATGTCTTCCCTCTAATTTTTGCTTTAGTTTTCCCTCTCTCTACAATATATTTTGCTGAACTTGCCAGATGAAAGAGCACAAATATTATGGTCTTTGTTTTTTTGGTGAAAGACTCAGCTAAGTTAAGCAAGAATGAAGAAGACCCAAGTGGAACAAGATGCTTGAAATAAACGCTGCATGTCTGGAATCCCCACTACCCACAAGGGCAGAAAGAATCACTTAGAAATAAGTGAAGTACTCCGGAGGACTGAGGAACTAGCAAATGCTGGCACAGTGAAGACGACGGGGAGAAAGCAACACTGCTGAGCTGATGCGACTTTAGTGAAAGATATGAACCTACAAGGTCAAGAGAGGCTAGAAGAAGAGCCACCAGTGGACAAAAGATGTCAATATACAGCGACACACCAAAGAAAGTGATCTGATTTGCCCTCCATATTTCCTGAGAGAAAGTAGATGCGAAGGCAACGGCAGGTTTGGTTTTAACAGCGTTGGTTCTATCAGCCTGTGTGGTCAGAGGAGGGGCCAGCGAGTTGTGGTCCACAGGTCCAGCCTACATACCACATCACACGGACGTGGCACAGGAGTGAAGAATGGTTTTTACATTTTTAAATGGTTTTTTAAAAATCAAAAGAAGAATACCTCATGATACATGAAAATTTTACAAAATTTAAATTTCGGTTTCCATAAATAACGTTTTATTGGCATACAGCCATAGTCAGGCCGGATCCTGAATTATCTTTGTATTCCTAGGGTAACACTCAAAAGCTAAATGAGCCTACACTTTTCCGCTCCTGCACGGTCTTTTTCTTGCTTAACAAGATTACTTTGGCCTCAGCAAATAAGCTGTGCACGGCTTTACTCTTTCCATTTCCTCAATAATTTGGATAAAACAGGAACTAAATTGCTTCTTCAAACTCCATTTGAGCCTGGAGTTCCTTTGGGAGGGGAGGGTCTTCAACATTTCAACTGTTTAAATATACTTATTGTCCTATTCATATTTTGTTTCTTCTTATGCCAATTTTGACATTTTATACTTAGGAATATATCCCTGCTCGCAAAACTGTTATTTTTATAATTCTTTATTCTATCTCTATTATTGGGTCTGTAGTTATTCTATTTTTTTCTATAATTTTCTGCCTTAACTTTGTATTAAAAATTAGTTTGCCAGCAATCTATTCATCTTAGTATCTTTCCAAAAACTAGTTTTTTGCTTTATCTTTCATAGACTCAACTCAGAAAACTGAACAGCGTTTCTCTACACCAATAAAACTAATCAACGTCAGGGCGCCTGGGTGGCTCAGTTGGTTAAGCGACTGCCTTCAGCTCAGGTCATGATCCCAGGGTCCTGGGATCGAGTCCCGCATCGGGCCCCTGCTCTGCAAGGAGCCTGCTTCTCCCTCTCCCACTCCCCCTGCTTGTGTTCCCTCTCTCGCTGTGTCTCTCTCTGTCAGATAAATAAATAAAATCTTAAAAAAAAACAAAACAAAAAAAACTAACCAACGTCATTGGAAGATACCATGCGCAACAACCATGACAAAAGAGCTCAAGAATTAACCAAAAATATACAACCCTCTTGTTGAGAAAGACATTTTAAAACTCTAACAGAAGATACAGAAGATGATCTGAAGACATGGAAATCTAATACATGTTCTTGGGTAGGACAGTTTACTATGCCAGTTCTTCCCAAATTAACCTCTCCATCCAATTAAATCCGAATAAAAATCAGTTATACTTTTTGAGAAACTGAGTAGACAAATTCTAAAATCTTTGTGAAAGAATAAAAGCCACTAAACAGCTACGCTAACTTTGAGAAAGAAATGAGAGGAATCTAGCCCAACCAGGTATTAAGAAATACCAAAAAACCACAGGGATTAAAAAAAAAAAAATGCTGCAAGGACACATAAAAAGACTAACAAATAAGCACAGGGTTCAGAGACAGATCCTTGTGCCTTGAGCATAATATGCAAACAAGGTGAGTCAATGAGGAAATGATGGGTGTTTTTAGTGGGTGGTGTGGTCAAAACTGACTTATTACGTGGGAAGAAAAATAAATACACCTGGAATCCTATCTAATACCAAATACAAAGTTAGACTCTAAACCAGGCCACAAATCAGGAATTTATGAAATTATGCCTGAATGCTAGATCCCTGTTTTTATAAATAAAGTTTTATTGGAAAAAGTTATGCCTATTCATTTACACATGTCTATACCTACTTTCACACCACAATGGCAGAGTTGAAGAGCTGTGACAGAGACCACCGGGCTTGCAAAGTTTAACCTATTTCCTATCTAGCCCTTAATAAGAAAATGTTTGCTGACTCCTGTTCTAGAGGAATTAAAGGCCTTAGTATTAAAGGTAAAACTGTAAAATTAACATTAGAAAATATACTAGCATATCTTTTGACCTTGGTGTGGGGGAGAACTTCTTAAATTATAAACCATAAGGCAAAAAACTCTTTGTGCTGATAACACAGAAATTAAGGCTTTCTGCTCAACAGATATCATAGATGATGGTAACTGATAAAAGACTGAGAAGTTACTTGCAAAGTCTAAAACCAACAAGAGACCAATACCTCGAATGTATAAGAAACCCCTATAATTTAATGAGAAGGAAGCAAGAACCCCAAAAGAAAAGTAAGCATATAACTTAAAGAAGCAATTTGCAGAGAAAGAAATCTAAATATATAATAAGCACAGGAAGAGCTGTTCAAACTCCTTAGTGATTAGAGAAATGGAAATTAATCCAACAAAGAGATAACATTTTATACCTTCAGATTTGCTAAAATTAGTCAGGTATGTAATGCCAACTGATGGCACTATACAGACAGCTGGTTTCTCCCAATTTTGGTATTAACCATCAATACCAACTAAAATGAAAAATCACTGTATTGGAAATAAAACCTAAGAAGGAGCAAAATATAACAGATATATGTCTATATTCAGTCAATATCTTATTCAGAAGAGATATGAAGCAATCATTTGCAGACTTGAATACACAGTTGAGAGCATACTGACACTCACAAATTGCATTAAGAAAACAAATATAGATAATATAGTCTCATTATGGCTAGTTTTCTTAATTCAAGTATCTGCAGGTCAAAGACTAGCCAGAAAAATTTAAATACTTTATTGCTAACCCGGATACAAATTTTTACTTGAAATTATGTCAGACTTTCTTTTTAAGGATTTAAAATATAACACTGTAGTTTCTAAAATCACTGGCTTATTTTATTCTTGGCTGAACTAAAACTAGGTAATATATGTACAAATGCATCATTAGAGATAAACTGAAGGACAGTGACATTTCTCCTGCTCTCTTAGCTTTTACAATAATTTATGCCAATAAATACACATATCCGCACAACTACTTACAAATCCTGAGCGGGCTGTTCCTTCTTTCATCCTCTGTTCATGGGTTCACACTTACAGCAGCGGGGCCCATCAAAAACACTGGCAGTCCCTTTCAAGCCTCACTGTATGCCACCACAGTGAATAAAACTAATTCGGATTGTTTCCTTTTGCCATAGTCCTTACTTCATGTCTAACCACAGCCGCTACTCTTGTTCAGCTCCCAGGCTCAAGTTCAGATCACAGGTAAGGCCTCCTTTCCTCTTCCTTCCCCCAGTTTCTCCCTTCTTCCCTCCCCCGTTTCTTCCTTTCTTTCCTCTGCACCTCCTCCCCTACTCCACCCATCTCTCCAACCAGTATTTTCTGAGTATCTGTTATGATCCAGGTACTGCTTTATTGTTAGGAATACAGCAGTGGTGAAGACAGACGAGGTCCCTGTGCTTTCAGAGTTTTCTCTTGTTTTTTTACATATAACTATATTCAGCTATTAAAGTAAATTTTTCCATTGGCCTGCTTTGTCCCTTGCCAACCCCATTCAAAACAATCTTACTTGTTTTCCGCGGCCTGCAGGGAAAAAGTCCAAATATTCTGGCTCACCTTCTAAGACCCTCTAGGATTTGGCTCCACTCTGCCTTTCCAGCAGAATCTCCACCTTCACTATGCATATCCTGTGCTTTGGCTAAACCTGAGTACTCGTTTGAAACCCTATCTGTGGCAAAATGGATGAGGTTTTGATAAGGTGTTATAGGATAAGGTTACAGGCTGCATGCAGCAACAACAAAAACCCAACACAGAGTAACACAGAAAACCCAAACGGGGAGTGGAGAAAGGATGAAAAAACTGATGACTACATGGAAATCTGATACATGTTCTTGGGTGGTACAGTTTACTATGCCAGTTCTTCCCAAATTAACCTCTCCATTCGCTTAAGTCCCAATAAAAATCATAGTTCTACTTCGTCCCACAACTATTTTATGAATGTCCTGTCAGTGTCAGGACAGACACAGAAACGAGGGGACAGGGGTTTTCCTCCCAAGGCAAGGTGTGCCAATCCCTCTGGGAAAAGGTGACTGTCCCACACAAAAGGAGGCCTTGGAACTACAGGGGGAAAAGGACTTATTCTTATCTGGGGGGCTAGGAACCAACCAGAAAGGAAGATGTCCTTCCCGTGGCAGCAGTGAGCTGTGCCAGGCCAGAAGAGAATGGCGGCCTCGGCCTCCAGTACCCCGGCTGTGGCAGAAATCACCAGCAGCATAGAGAAGCAGCTAGAACTGCACCCAGAAAGCGGCCGCAGCACCCTTGGGTCTCAACAGGACGCATCTAAGTCCTGGTTCACCCAGCACAGCAAAAACTAGAACCACGTCTCTGAACCCAAGGTGGAGTGGGGGCCCCGGTCCGGGGTTAAGGAAAGGCAAAGGGAACGACCCAAGGCCTGTGTGCGGCGCGCTTCAGGCAGCTCAGGAGGGAAGCCACACACAGCTCGAGGATACTCTCATGTGGCTGATCTCTAGTAGGTCAGGGGAGATTTATGCCGTAACAATTTGTGTTTAAGAAGAAAGTGTGATTTTACTTTGCAGACCCAGGCAGATTGCATCGAGGACCTATGGGCTATGTTTTCACTTTTTTTTTTATGACAATTATCACTGGCAATTTGTGTGCCTACCTCTCTCCCTGGCTAGATCGGGAGTTCCCTTAAGGCAAAAACTATGTCCACCAGAAAATAACTTTCCCCACGGATTTCTGCGCCCCTTGCCAATTTTAACAAGTTGTTCTATTTCCCACAGAACCTTGCATAATGAGTCTTCACAGAGAAATACAAAAACTATCCGTTCAGTGCGTAAATGAACTGGTCTCTACCTTCCAGGTGAAGTGTGATCAGTGCTGAAAATATTCTCCGTGGGAGATAACCCTAGTGTCACAGTCATCATAAGAATAAAGTGCATATACAATCAGGTCCTTAAACAAAACAAAAGCAACTTACTAGTAATCATTGCTCCAGTTACAGAAGCCAGAAATCCGATGCTGACTGCAACGAGCGAGATTACTCTCCCCTGCCTATGTCTCTGCAGCATCACAAACATCAACACGCCCGCAGCACCATGGACAAACAGAGAGGAGAAGAGAGCCCACAGAAAGATCCAGTACCACATCTCTGAAAGGAAAAGCAAAGGGTTAATAATTCTGTTGAAAACATCCTAGAAAATTCGGTTTAACAAATAGGGAGCCCCCAGGGTTTGGAGGAAGGGTAAATGAGATAAAGGATATAAAAATGGCCAGCACAGTGCCTCATACATAGCAACACTAAATGAAAGTTAACGATGATCATCATCACTGATGCTCGATGGGGAAAGAGTTCCAGAACTTCAGAATATTAAGGATACCCTCTGATTGGCTCTAAATGTCTCCATCATATAGCTATAATCCATCAATGTGTCTAACAAATCCCTAATTAATTTACAAATCTCTTGGAATAAAGTTGAGATATGATTTTCTACACTAAATAACTGTGTTAAGACATTTTTGAAATCTACTCCTTAATTCAAGTTGTTCCAGAAATCAACAATTTTATCTTTTATGATTTTAGGAATTTCAGGCAATTCCCCTCTTGGCTCTCAACTTTATATACTAAAGCATCACTCAGAATTTTTTTTTTTAATTCTTTTTCTCGGGTCATTTTAATAGTCCTTACCCAGACCTTTCCAAGCTCCATTGTTCTTTCTTCAAAGTGTCCTCAATTACTGTTCATTTTGGTTTAGGTTACGGTGGATGAGCGCACCTTCCATTGTCTCTCTAGCACTCATTCCCTTTCTTTCTGGCCACCTGTGCCCTTCCAGTCAGCCCGTACAGCTCCTGTAGGCTTTGCCAGGTCTTTGCATTGACTCCACCTCCCTGCCCAGGCCTGTGGTGAGGTCCATCAGGGGAGGCAACTGATCCCCGCTGGGCCGATCATTCCCTTCCCCTGGGAATTCTGGATTGGGCCCCAGGGAGCACCACAGTCTTTGGGTGGCTGAAGGATTTGTGAAGAGCCATTTCTGCATCACGTGATGAGAGCCACGGAACAGGATGAAAGAAAAACGTATCCATCAAAGACAAGAGACAACCAAATCCCTCATTCCAGTGATTTCTAAGGCCTGCCACATTACTACCCTTAGTTTCAATGTAACATCCCAGTTTCCTTTTAATAAAATTCCTTTTTATGTAAACTAGCTCAGGGAAGTCTTCTGTTACTTATAGCTGAAAGAGTGGACTCCAAATGTGGGGATGTCACCTTGAGGATCATCCTTGGTATGCAAACATTCTGTAATGCAAAGTATCTGCCATCGGTGCTAGTATTCACTCTCTATCAAGTGGAAAAGAAAGGTCAATAAAACAGTCATGAAATAAAGAGAACAAAAATGGATGAATAAAAACATATCTATCCCAACATCATTACAGATATTACACTGTTGATGGGAATGTAAAATGGTGTAGCTTCTATGGAGTACAGTGGTTCCTCAAAAACTTTGAAAAAGAACTACCATACAATCCAGCAATTCCACTTCTGCATATATAGCGAAAAGAATTAAAAGCAGGATCACGAAGAGCTATCTGCACACCCATGCTCTTAGCAGTATTACTCACAACAGCCAAGAAAGGGAAGCAGCTCGAGTGTCCCCCAACGAATGAATGAATGAGCAAACTGCGGACGGCACACACAATGGAATATTATTCAGTTTAAAAAAGGAAAGAAACCGGGGTGCCTGGGTGGCTCAGTCATTAAGCGTCTGCCTTCGGCTCAGGTCACGATCCCAGGGTCCTGGGATTGAGCCCCACATCGGGCTCCCTGCTCTGCGGGAAGCCTGCTTCTCCCTCTCCCACTCCCCCTGCTTGTGTTCCCTCTCTCGCTGTGTCTCTCTCTGTCAAATAAATAAATAAAACCTTTAAAAAAAAAAAAAAAGGAAAGAAACCCTGGGACATGCCATGACAGGGCTGAACCACGAGGACTTTATACTGAGTAAAGTAAGCCATTCACAGAATGATAAATACTGTATGATTCCATTCACATGAGGTATATCTAAAGCAGTCCAATTCACAGAGAGAACACAGAATGATGGTTGCCAGGGGCTTGGGTGAGAGGGAAATGGGTACAGAGCTGCAGTTCCTCAAGACTAAAAAGATGTGGAGATCTGTTATACAACAATGTGAAGGTACTTAACACTACTGAACTATATATACCCTTAAAATAGTTATGATGGAAAATTTTGTGTTTTTTTAACCACACTAAAAAAATAAACTTTTTAAAGTATGGGTATAAATTTCAAAGATAATTAAGTCATGACCATAAATGAGAAACGAACAAATCTTGTGAAGTGGGGTGCCTGGGTGGCTCAGTCGGTTAGGCGCCCGACTCTTGATTTCCACTCAGGTCATTTCTGGTTCCACGTTCAGCAGGGAGTCTCCTTGTCCTTCTCCCTCTGCTTCCCCCACCAACCCTCTCTCAAAAAAATAAATAAACTCTTTAAAAAAAAACTCATGAAGGAAGGAAGGTGTGGATAGAAGGTAAATACTAGGGGTCTTTGGGGCAATGGAACTATTCTGTAGTTTGACTATAGTGGTGGATACTTATATAAGTGACAACACTGTACAGAAATAAATACAAACACACATAAATTAGTACACATATACAAGTAATACTGGTGAATCTGAATAAGGCTGGTGGATCAATGTCAATATCATGGTTTTGATATTACACTGTGGTTTTCCAAGATGTCCTCATTGGGTAAACTGGGTAAAGGGTACATGGGTTCTCTCCACATTATTTCTTACAAACACATCTGAATCTACAATCATCTCAAAGTAAAAAGTTTTTTTTTTTTTAAAAAAAGGGAGGATACACAGAAAACAGATTTAAAAAATAAAATCATTTTCAGCCTGCCAAATTCTTAAGAATTAACACTTAGACTGGACTCAGTTAATGTGAAATCATTTGAAGGCAGGGACATCGGGTATATTCTCTAATGTGTGCTGAAGGACCATGCATGCTTCTCAATGGCATAAGAGACAGATGCTGGTCATTAAGGAAAAGTAGACAAAGCTTGCCTTTTAAGGTTTTTCTCTTCTAGGTTTCAGCAAAATGTTTTTATGCTGTCGCTCCCAAACAAATAGCTTCAATTTATAATAAATGCATTAAGGACAAAAAAGCTTAAGCGGCTCAGAAGATATTTCTATTTTAAAAGATGTTAATTTTTCAAGGTGGGAATATAAGGGAATAATCCTATGGAGGCATTTTCATCAAGGGATCTCTGAGACCAGAAAGGCTCCACAGCAAGAGGCACATACTCTTAAGAAAGAGGTCAATCATCTGCCTCTTAGCCCAAGCCCACTTCTGATAGCTTACCAATCTACCCCAGAAAGCACTTTTCTTTGTTGTCCTTGAAATACAAATAGAATGAAAAAATTCTTGACTATATTTAAGACTATGAGTGAGGGATTATTTGACATTATAAGTAATGGTGTTTGCTTAGTGAATACATAGTTATTGGCCTCAACAAAAACTCTGCTTGAGCATTTGGAAATGTAAATTTTAAGTTTAATGTTTTATAAAGCCCCAAGATATCAAAGAATTATACAACTAAAATAGAACCTCAAATAGTCCTCTAGTGACCAGACCAGAGTTATCCCTTAAGCAGACTGAGCACAAACTGCCTAAATTCAAATTTATTTTCGTATTTCTTTTTTTTAAAAATCATATTATTTATCTTAGAAAAAACTGAACTCTGGGGCGCCTGGGTGGCTCAGTCGTTCAGCGTCTGCCTTCGGCTCAGGTCATGATCCCAGGGTCCTGGGATCGAGTCCTGCATCGGGCTCCCTGCTCCGTGGGAAGCCTGCTTCTCCCTCTCCCACTCCCCCTGCTTGTGTTCCCTCTCTCGCTGTGTCTCTCTTTCTGTCAAATAAATAAATAAATAAATAAATAAATAAATCTTTAAAAAAAAAAAAAAAAAAGAAAGAAAAAACTGAACTCTGCTAAGAATATCTATAGCTAACTTAGGTTTCATGTTATCACTATGATTGTGAATTACCTAATGGATGCACACAACCTGGTCCGTGGGCGGGGCCTCTGAAGATCTTGATCTACTCTGCATAAGAAAGTCAATCTCAGGCCCTGCTCACCACTGGCAAACACAGGAAACCTACCAGGTTAGTTCAGGTGAAGAGAACTGCAGGATCCTAAGAGCAGAGCAGGAACAGATGTCCAAGAGCCCTAGAGGAAGGACAGGGGCTAAGAGGACAGGTGTGGAATACTACCTTTTCTTCAACTGTCTAGGCCATACAGCTAATGTGGACATCCACAGGCTTAGGGGTCCCTGTCCACCCATAGCCCACCTAATCCAAGCTTCCAGCAATTGAGCAACAGTGAAAGGAAGATAGGCCAGAGAGAGACTTTGCTAGTGCTAAACAAGATGCAAAACAAAATTTTAAAAATACAATGCACGAAACAGAAAACTCTGAAGCCTGCCATCCACACACTTGCCTTAATTCACTGGAAGGAAATACCCCTTCTTCCTGGGCACATCTCATAATGTCTGGTTATTTTTCCCTATTCAAAGCTGTCCATAATCTTCATCCTAAACAAATTTTGCCTGGATTGTTGCACCGGAGAACTGTGATGTGTCCCGGCCTCCAAACAATACTAGAAATAGCCTTGCTCCCAATCTGTACCTCTCATCAGCTCCCGTTGCCAAGTTGCTCAAAAATTATCTTCTGTGCTTTTGTTTTTCATCCTTGGACAAAATTATTTATGAGAAATGTTTTTCTCTAGTTGTCTAAAATGTATTAAATGAGTAAAAACAAGTCAAAGAATGGTACATACTGTACTATCCTATTTGCTTAAAAATATGTTTATGTACAGAAAAATGCACAAACAGAAAACTTGTCAATGGCTATCTTTTAAAGATAAGAGATGGGTGATATTATTTTATACATCCTTTGCTTTTTATTTTTCAGCATCTGCCTGAAATATGTATTTTTTAAATTTTGCTGCAAACATACTGTTTTTAAAAAGTAGTTTTTCATTCTAAAATTCATCAAAGAAGATGCTCTACTAGGCCAAAGGTTCTCAACCCAGACTGCTCACAAGAATTACCCTAAACAAAAGTTCTCAACCCAGGCTGT